CTGAGAAGTCGTTGAAGAGGTTCAATTTCATCTTTCTTTCTTTCTTTTAAAATTTGGTTTTGACTTTTTGTTGAATTGATTTTTTTGTGATTTTTGGGTTTGATAGTGAGTACTTTTTAACGGGAAAAAAAAGAAGAGTAGTGAGGGTGATGGATTTAGTTTGAATTATGATGTTGAATATGAAGTTTTTCTATTCAACGGGAATATGATGGTCTTTCAACTGTAAAGAACACAAATTATTCATGTCTGTCCCATGTCCTGGTGCAGCCTGGCTCATGAAACAGTAGATTATAAAGGTATATACATGCAATGACCACCAAGCTGGTACTGGGGAACAAACTGGATTAACGTGCGGTTTCATTTTGCAGGGATTGGATTCAAGAGTGTATTTGTGATAACTGCTCAGCCATACATATTCAGCAATGGCTATCAGATACGGTTCAATGAAGGGCCTTGCCCCCACTCCAACCTTGGATATATTGTCCCTGAGTGGGTGGACGAAAACCCAACTCTTTCTGATATCAAGGAGATATATGGTTCAACTTCTTCCCTTCCAACCACTATAATTGTCCTGCCTCTGAAGCCTGACAAGGTCAAAGCTGTTAAGAAGCAGCTCTCAAGTGTTCATCCAGAAGTTTTGCTGTTTCTTTCAAAAATTAAACGCTTTTCAGTCAGGAAGGATAATGAAGATCCGAAACTTAATACTGTGAATGCAATAGCTATTACAAGTGAGACTGATTTTGTGACCAGGAAGAAAATTGACGCTGAATCCTATACCCTCCGGCTTGCTGCAGCAGAGAATGGTGATAAGTCTGAAAAGGAATGCACTTACTATATGTGGAGGCAGAAGTTTCCCGTCAGGAAGGAAAACAAAGTGGAAAGGAGAATGGAAGTTGATCAATGGGTGATCACGTTGGCTTTCCCATATCAAGAACGTCTACATAGAGGGGCAATCCTACCTGGGGTTTATGCATTTCTTCCAACTGAAATGATTACTAATTTCCCCTTCATAATTCAAGCAGATTTTGTTCTATCATCATCAAGGGAAACAATACTCTTGGACAACAAATGGAACCAAGGGATTCTTGATTGTGTCCCCTCTGCCTTTGTCAGTGCCTTCATCTCACTGGTGAAATTAACGGAAGATGCTCCAATGTTTAATTTGCCTCTAATGTTTGGTTTCTTGCCAGTCAACAGTTCTTCCTATGCAGAGTTGAATGCTGTCAGAGAATCAATCAGAGCAAAGCTGGTGGAAGAAGAGATTGTTCCTACTGAGTCAGGCCTGGATCAGAGGCTTTTCCACAAACCACACGAAGTAGGTAGAATTCAGCCTGTTTTCTGGGACATTTTGAAGAAGGCAAGAGAGGAAGGGGTGAGCTTGCATAACCTCTCATCTCATGGAAGGTATATCTTGCATTCTTCATTTGACAAGGCAGAGTATGATCAGATCCTGAATTTCTTGGGAGTCAGCCAAGTCAACTATGAATGGTATGCAAAGTGCATCGAGGGTTCTAATCTTGTATTGTGGGTTTCAGATAATGTTTACACAGAGCTTCTTCTGTTCATTGCTAGAAACTGGCCGGATCTTTGTGGCACCAACATTAAGAAAATACCACTTCTCAAGTATGTTAGCAAAGATGAAAATGTGTCTTTATGCAGCATTGATGAATCCTTTCACAGGAATGACCAAATGGTGTTGTGCCTGTCATCAACTTATAAGCATGCCCCATGGATGATTGATTGCAATCAGGAATTCAGATGTGTGACTAATCATCATTTTATGCCAAAAAGCACCCATGAAGCCTTTCAATTATGTTCTGAGAAATTGGTGATAGTTTTGCCATGGCTTCAAAAACAGGCTAAGGTTGTTTGTCTTGATGTTTATGATTATGCATGGATTGTGAATAAAAATCTCCCCAACGATCGGAAGCTTGCTGTAACCTATGCTCACTTCTTGTGTCACTCATTGTTGAAGAAATTTTTGTCAGCAGATCAGGTTAGTTCTTTGTGTGCTACTGGTAGCATGCCACTTGTGGATGATTTTGGGTGCGTGAGAACTAGATGCAAGGGAGTTCTTGTCCCTGCTAATGGAAGCAAATGGGTGAATTTGGTCATTTCAAATCTGTGGAAGCAAGATGACTATGTTGTCTTAGGAGAAGACTATTTGCTTCCTGGTAATTTTGCTGGCCAAAGAACCTCCAGTGAACAACTTATAAATTTCCTAAAATCTTATGCTTCAGCTTCAGATATTCCTCAAATATCTCCTCCTAATTCTGGGATTCGTGCTGTGTCTAGACCACTCACAAAGGAAAACACATTCCTACTGTTGGATTGGGTTCAGAAACTGAAATTAAGAGGAGAGCGTCTTCCAGAGAAGTTCTTGAAAAGTCTGAGGAATGGCAACTGGTTGAAAATTACAATCAATGGCTCTTCAAGCTATGGACCACCGTCACAGTCATTCTTTCATTCATCATCTTGGGGGAACATCTTGCAGAATGGTTCAGTGCTTGTTGGCATTCCTCTTATTGATCAGAGCTTTTATGGGGATGGAATAAATAAGTACAAGGAGGCATTGAAAACATTGGGGGTAATGTTTGAATCTGGAGAGGCATGTCAGTTTATTGGGGAGAATTTCATGTCTTTGGAAGCCTCATCAACTTTAAGTAAAGGGAAAGTACTTTCCGTGCTTAATTTCATCAGATATTTGAGAGAGAATCTCCTTCCTCCTGAGAAATTCATAGGCAGTATCGAAACAGGAACATGGCTACGGACATGTCACGGTGACATGTGTCCAGCTGAAGCTGTCCTATTTGATCAGGAATGGAAAACTGCATCACAAATCAGTGATATCCCTTTCCTTGATGATGACTACTATGGTGAGGAAATCTTATATTTTAAAACAGAACTTCAGTTGCTTGGTGTTGTCGTTGGCTTCCATGAGAATTATGAGCTTGTGGTTAACTACTTGAAACCAAAATCATACCTGACTTCTCTAAATGCTCAGGCCTTCCTTTTGATATTAAAATGCATGAAGCATCTAAAATCCAAAGAGAAGCTGATTGCAGCAGTTGCCAAAATTAAGTGTTTGAAGACAAATCAGGGTTTCAAATCTCCACATAAATGCTTTCTGTCTGATCCTGAATGGGGTGGCCTCCTACAGATTTTCAATTGTTTCCCAATAATTGATCATGAGTACTATGGAAGCGAGATCAACTCCTACAAAGATGAGTTGAAGGAACTGGGCGCCATTGTGGGTTTCCTTGATGCAGTCAAAGCCTTTGCTTCCACTTTTAGGCAGAAGGCATCTAAGTCTTCTATTACAAAGGAGAATGTTTTCTCATTTCTTTCTTTTTACAGAAAGCAAAACCGACCTCTTCGTAAGTTCCATCCAGATTTGAGGAATTGCATCCGTGAGGAACGTTGGCTGCGGACCAATCTGGGCGATTTCAGATCTCCAAAAGATTGTGTTCTATATAGTCCAGAATGGAAAACTATCTATCCAATTTCTCTAATTCCTTTCATTGACAGTAGAGACAATTATTATGGAAAGGACATTTATGGCTACAAAGACGAGCTTCAGAGCTTGGGAGTTGTTGTTGAATTTAAAAGTGGAGTGAAGTTTGTGGCCGATGGTCTCCGTTTTCCCCAGGATCCATGCCGCATTACTCCTGAAAATGCTCTTTCATTGCTTAAATGTGTGGGTATTTTATTAGAAAAGGGGAATGACCCCTTACCAGAGGGGTTTCTGAAAAAAGTTTCCACTAAATGGTTAAAGACCAAATCCGGCTATTTGAGTCCTGATGAGTGCTTATTGTTTGACAACAGTTCTGGCTTAGAGCAGGCAGACGGGCCTTTCATTGATGAAGAGTTTTACGGTCCTGATATCAGATCCTACACAAAAGAGCTCAATGCTATAGGAGTCATTGTTGATGTAGAAAAGGGGTGCGAATTGATTGGCTGCCACCTCTCTTTCCATTCTGAGTTTTCAACCATCACTCGGATATACAATTTTTTGCATGAGAAGGGATGGAAACCTAACAGTGAGGCAACAAGAAAAATCTGGATCCCTGATGGAAGTGACAATGGGCATTGGGTTGACCCAGATGATTGTGTCCTACACAGCGGTGATGGTCTATTTGGTTTGCAGTTGAATGTTCTGGAGAAATATTATAAGAATGAAGTACCGCTACAATTTTTCTACCGCGCATTTAAGGTTAGAGCCAATCTATCACTCGATGATTATTGCAGAATTTGGAACACTTGGGAAACTTCTAGAGCTCAGTTGTCAAATGATGAGTGTAATGCATTCTGGGGGTATGTTATGAGGCAGCAGAGTTCAAGAACAGAGAGAATTCTTGCTGAAAGGCTGGTGAAGTTGCCTGTGGATTCAGGTTCAGATGGAGTATTGTTACTTGACAAGCGTGATGTTTTTATTGCTGACGACCTTCAACTCAAGGATGTTTTTGTCTCGCACTCTCCTCATCCACTCTTTGTTTGGTATCCTCAGCCAAGCTTACCTTCTTTGTCCCAGACCAAGTTGCTTGAATTATACAAGAAGATAGGGGTTCGTACATTGTCTGAATCTGTGCAAAAGGAAGAATCATCATCAAAACATGGCTTGGAACTTAAACAGGTTAACCCAAGTGATGTTTTGATTGTTAGAGGGCTGATTAGACTTCTTCTTGGCTTTCTAGCATGTTGTTTAACAATGGAAGTGGAAAAAAGGCACAAAGCAGTACAATGCCTCCTTAACCTCACTGTCTTTGAGACATCTGAACCGGCTACTCTGAGTTATAGTTTATCTCTGTCCTCTGACAAAATGTTAAATGTGAGAGTAAGCCAAATGATACATTGGGACAGGGAGAGCTCAAAGCTTTACACAGTGAAGATTGACAGGACTGCTAGTCAGAAGATTCTACTTGAATATGCTTCATGTTTCTCTGAAAAAGTAGCCAAGGGAGTACTTTGGGACAAAGAAGATCACATAAATTCACTTTCTGAGCTGATTAAGTCGGCATTTCTTCTCAGATTTGATGAAGAAGCAGTTAGTTTCTTACTCAAGTCGAAGAATTTGCAAATTTTTAAGGAGGATGAGGAGTTCCTAGCAGCAGCCTTCCCCTGTGAGTAGGCATGGTATGAGCAGCTAATAGTTTGACTTTTTGCATTTTTCCTTTTTAATCATCTTGGTCTCGTTTTTATTTAATTTTGCGTCCCCCCCCCTTTTTTTTGTGTCTTCAGGCTTCTGATGTGTGGCTTTTGGAGTATGCCTTGGTGAAACATATGGTAGTTCATAATATCAAGCCTGTTTGAAAGAACTGACCGGTGACTCAGTTTGCTCATTGTGGTTGTCAACAATTATATCTCATGTTAGTGTGTTATTGTGTGCTGTTTGAAACCCGAGTGGTCTGTTGAGTTGTTGAGTGGTCTATCTTAATTATATCTAATCTATGTGTAATGTCAACCATTATTGTAATGCAATCGCATATGTTTATTAGCTTAATGTTTTCTCATGGTTTCTTACTACTTTAAATACCAGTAATTAAAAATCTGTTTTTTTAGTATTAAGCAATCGAAGATTTATATCCCCTAGATCTCATTCTTTTTACCATCATGAATGGAGATTGATTTTACTCTGCAGTTGTGCACTTCATATTAGCTCTATGTGTTAAGCTCTATGGAAGAATAACTTGCTTATATTATATATGTTATTTCTACCTCGTTATGGTTGGTTGATGAAGCGACTTTGCTCATATAGAAAATAAAAAAAAAAGGTTTGCCCATATACACGTTTCTGTTTCTTATATTTAGGAATGGATAGACAAATTTTTAGCCCAAGTACTGATGACTATACAAGAGAGAGAATAATCTTTTGATGACAAAGGCTTCGTATCTCTGCTATAGAACAAATAGGGAATTCATGACTGATCGAGTAAGGTAAAACAAAAAGGAAAACAGAAGCATGCACTTTGTTTCTTCTACCTATTGTCATCAAGAAGTGGCTCTTTTGCAGCTTTTAGAGGTGAATCCCTTTGACTGCGACCACAAGCTGGATAGTAGCATGATTTAACTCTGAGTAAGTTCTTCACTGGCTTTCCCTTAGGTAATACGGTCCTGAATTTTCTTCCTTTCTTTTGCTTTTTCTCTGCCACTGTTCCCTGAAACTTGAAATTTTGTAGTTTGTATGAGAAATCAGCTTTGTTTGAATTGGCTTCATTGTAAAATTCGATTTTGATTTTCATTAAGTTCATGTACCTCACTGGAATTCGAAGGTTCAACAATATCACTTGCCACTGAATCTTCTGTCTTGATGTCATCTTCCTTTCCTGCATACATTCGATGTCAACGTGTGGTAGGTATGGGGCTCTTTATTTGGTAGATTTTCTAGAGCATTTAATTGCACTATATGATATGAATTCAATTATGAAAATACTAACCGTCATCCTCTTCATTTTCCAATGTGTCCATGCAGTACACTCTGAAACTCGGTGATCCAGGAGAGAGAAGTGCACCATCTATGCAAATAACTCCATCTTCTTCCTCATTATCTCCCTCAGCATCTGTTTCTTCCGTAGCCATCTTTTCTATCACTGCCATCACTGCCTCCACCACATCCTCCTCTGGAACAACTTCCTCTAGCTGTAGTGATTCAGGTGTTGCATTTGCTGACCCTTCACTTTCAGCAGATGCCCTCCTCTGATTATTTTTATTGTTGGAACTGGGTCTGGCGTGTTCATCATCTTCAACCAGAGCCAGTGCCACCTTTGCAGGCCCTTCACTTTCAGGAGATGCACTCTGGTCATTTTCATTATAGGAATTGGGTATAGAATGTCCATCCTCTTCTACATGAGACAGTACCTCCATTGCAGACCCTTCAGTTTCATAAGATGCACTCCTTCGGTCATTTTCATTGTTAGGAATGGGTCTAGAATGTTCATCTTCTACTCCATCCTTGAGCAGCTGTTTCTTTGAAAGGGTTGTAAGCCCTCTGATCTCTTCAAGCTTGCGGAAAAATAAAGGTTCTAGCCTTTGCGGCATCATCATCGGCCTTGAAGCCACACAACCCATTACAAGGCAAATGTACAAGAAATGGAGAGGCTGAGATTGAGAAGAGGGTGCAACAAAAAGGGATGGTGAAGGAATCAGGATTCAACGAAGGCGAAAATTTAATTGCAGAATTCCAACGGTAGTTAAGGAACGACAGCAAATATTTTTTAACAGATTTGATTATTTGTTACATAGTTTGTTGGTCTGTCTTCAACTTCCATTTAATTGCTATTTAGGCCCATTCTTTGTAGTCTGTCAACGTGAAAGAGTCAAATTGTGTTTATTACAGCTATGCTGATAGAGATTATATTATGAGATGATCTTTTGGAAAAAAGAAAAAAAAAAGTAAAAACCGAAACAAATGCTGTTGGCATCTCTCTTTGTACATTAATAACCATATTATGTCCATACAGCAATTATTATGGTCATCTTTACATAAGTATGGTTTTCTTTACTTAATTATATTATTTTTTTATAAAAAATAGAGAATTATATTAACATGAAGACATTATAATTGAATTTTTATCTCAAGAATTATAGCCTAAAACAAAATCTAAAGCATAATTTATTGCACTCGTAACAGATTTAAATTATGCCCATAATGGATATAAACAACTAAGCAAAAAGAATCATTCACGACTAGAGTTTGTAATTATAATTGCTATATGAGCAAAACATGACTATTAATGTAAAAAAAAAAGCCATTATGAGGATCAAAAACTACTAGATGTCTTCACCTATTTAACCAGTTTCACAAGAAAAGTAGAGAATCTCGACTTCAATTGTTCCCAACCCGTTGGATGTCCTCCCTAAGTAAAATAAGTTTTCAGCTTGCAGAAGACACCCCTGTATTGTTTACCCACACCTTACTAGCTCTTTCTTCCTACATAAATTTAGTACAATTCTCTCTTAATTGGAATACTTTTGTCCATGTCCAGTGGAGGTCCCACTGCACATTCTAGCCTTTTCCATTTGCTTTTGCTACCTTTTGTATCTTTAATTTGCCCTTTGAACCTTTTGATGCCGCCAAATTCATGGGACAAAGGCACCTCCACATGAACAAAATTCGACAAAGCAACAGGAGGTTGGTTCACTATTTCAACTTTAGTCCATCCAGTGGCAGCATCATCTTTATTTCCTCCCTCTATTTGATTGACATAGTTGGCTACAAAGTTATCCAACTACAAATCACCATGTTCTAGATGCTCCTAGCTCCCTTTAGCCTTATCTTTAACTAAAAATTGAGTATTTGTAGAGAAAGTTTCATTCAAAATATCAAAATCATATGGGCACCATGAGTTTTCCAATTTAACTTTTAACCAAGTGCCAAAATGACAAATGATCTTACCCCTCGCATCTTTTATACTATTTGCAATTTCACAATCATTCTCGAAATGGCCAAAGCATCCACAAACAAAACAGATTTCCGGAAGGCTTTCATATTTAATCCAAAGCTTCTTGCTCTTTGTAGTAGTAATTTGAGAAGTTTTAAATCTTTTCAATGGCCTATCCATCTCCAAATCAATTTGAACTTTGATAGCCTTACAAAATCCTTCATCCACCTCTTAAACCCTTTCCATATAAACCACCAATCAAGTATCCAATCTGCTCTGAATGCATACCAATATAGGAACATTAAAGACTCTAACCTAGAATGGATTGATAGAAAAATTATATTGCTTTGCAGTTAAAGAGTTCTAAAATGCCTTTAGAATTAGCAATGAGTTGTTAAAATTCTAAAGACCTCTATGAAGGGTTTTGTTTAGATCTCCATTTTTTGAGATTTGAAATAGATAAATCTTTTCTCCAATTTCAGAGATTTTAAAAGCCTTTTTAAGGTTCAATGAGACCATTAGAGTATTGTGAAGACCACTTAGGTTGATCCTTTGAGAGAGAGGATCTTCCCCACCAAATGCAGCTTCTCCAATTGTGTATCTCGTGGCTTCCAAGCCCTATGCAGTGGGAGGATGCCATCCTCATCATCCATGAAGCAGACAAAACTAAGCATAGAACCAAGTTCTTCATTTGCCATTTTTATCAAAATACTGCACTCTCCAAATACACCAATACCAAATCAAAATTAGCAAGTAGGAGGAGGAGACATGCAAACAAAGCTAAACATGTCGCAAAAAACAAACCTAATAAGGGATCCGGAATTGGTTTTGTACTGTTGCCTTAGATCGCCTAAGTTACTGTGTTCCGAGCAAGGTGACAAGAATAGTTGTCAATAGTAGAGAAGAGGGAGGGAGACTTCTCAACCGAAAAGAAAACCCTGAAGAGGTGCTTGCCGTCTCCAAAACCCTAACTCTAAAAGTTTGGATCATGGGAGTTTTGCCTAATTGTATTCGTTATAGATATAATTTAAGTATGTAACTAATGTTGTAGGTTATAATTCAGTTTCTAAGCTATAGTGTTATATTATAAAGATTCTGATAAAACCTCAATTTTATTTTTAATAATATTTCTATTTTCCATAAAAAAAAAAGTGTTAATTAGTTCTTGATATCCATCTAAATTTTTGGTATTGCACGCTTCAAACATTGGAATTACAACGAATTTTATTTCTCTTACGCTGATCATAGTGAATTTCATTTCTCTTAGGCTGATCATTGGGGAGAAAGAAACATTGGACCACATCAATTCACTGTACGTCAGTTATATAACTAGGTAATAACTAAATCATGTAGTGGAATAGAGTAATAAGAATTGAGCCACTTAATTATCATTTTGTTCATGTTTTAAAGTTTTATTGAGTAATAATTATATAACTAGTCCTACGGTGATTTCTTGTCATTAAGAGTGTTATGAGTTTAAGCTATATAATATATGAGTAGCTAGGATGAGTTAAGACCTTACCTCCCATTGACCATATTAGGATTGTGCAGTAGTATTTTCCCTTTTGTGAATAGGCTTGTTAAACAAGCTCAGTTTGTTTAGTTTTTGCAAGGTTCAAGTTGCGGTTCAGCTCTAGGATAGAGCCCATCAGTTTGTTTAGTATTATTATTTCACTTTCGTTTTCATTCATGCTTGAAATCATGAACTCGGCTTAACTAAGAAGATTTTAACAAGCTTGGCCTAAAATTCAAACTAAGAAAAAAGGGATAATTTTTTTGAAACATATAGACTAGAAACTGTATCTTAAACATGTAATTAATGGTATAGGTAATTCTACTAGCAGTCCATCTGGCTGATAGTAGAAAAAAGGGTTAATTAAGAAGCGAAACCACTGCTTAATTCGGTCTAGGCTTTCCACAGGATCGAGAATCAACCTTTCCCGAATGAAAATGATTGATTTGAAGATCGAAGCAAGAGTGACAGGCCACCGTATCGAATTTGTATGTCAAAAGCTAATTGTTAGAATCTCCACCATAACAAATAGCCCACAACTCCATTGGTAAGTTATATATATTGAGATTCTTAAGTGTAAACACTATGCAAATAGGAAAGAATAACAAAATCAAAAGTAAAACCACTGCTTAATTCTGCCAAACTTTCCACGCATGAGTATCAAACTTTCCCAAAATAAAGTGAAGATCGATCCCAAAACAAAAGTCATGGGCATATCGAATTTGTTTAAAGAAGCGCAAGTGAACCCCATGTGCGCCCCAAATCCAATCAATTTCGATATTTATGTAAAGTTGTCATCCTTCTTTTCTTTTTCTCTTCTCATCTCTCTTCGAAAAATCAATTCCCTTTATACACGGAAAAAGGAAAGAAGAAAGTAAAGATTCATTTTACTCATGATTGATACAAAGTCATTGTATCAAAGCCAGTTAAGTTGTGTTAACATTAAAATTCAAATCATTGGAGATAACTAGCTCGCGAGTTTAAGATTTTTAAATTAAAAGTCTTAGTTTCATCTTAAGACACAATCAAATGGTGATGCATTTCAAATCATTCAAATTCCATTTAATGATTGCATCACAAGCAAGATAAATGTATAAGATGACCCAAGAAGTAGAAAGAGTATAGTTCAAAGGGCATTGCAGCTAGTACTGCTTTCTTCATGGTCAGATCCATATGAACAAACCTCCTCAGTAATGGTACTTGAACATGATGAAGAGCATGAGGAAGACAAAGGACATACATTACTTCTCCCTCTCCTCATAAAATCAAAGATTCCAGGGTGAGAAAATGCAGCATCATTCTCTTTGTTATCCTTGCTTGTTTGAATGGTTTCCTCTTCATTTGTCACACTTCTTTTCTTCAAAAATATGCGGCAGAGAACCCAATTTCCCATTTCTTTCAAATCACTCTGCATATACTCAAACAAGAGGAAAGTGTTGGCATTTCTTCGCGAACAAAAAAAAAGAAAAAAAACCATGATCTTCGAAACTCAATCAGATTCAAACCTTGGAATTAAGGGGCATATATATATATATATATATATATAGATAAACTTGCCTGGATTGAGTTCTTTATATTTGTGTATGAAGAGTAGCGAGGAGGTGTAGCAAGGCGATACTCGTGTATGATCCATTCAGTTCTAGTCCCATGTGGCGGCTTTCCCTTATGGAAAATCAGAGTCTTTCTCATCCCCACCATTTGGTTTCTTCCTGAAGAAGCAATCTTCTTATCCACCCCAGTTGCCTTCCAATATCCAGAAGCAGTAGCTCTGTTAATTCTACTGCCATTTCGATACTTGGCCTCCTTATTACTGAAAAAGTACCTCTCTTGCTCAAAATCACCTGCAAACACATAAT